CTATCTGTGCGTATCTGGATTCCGTTTCGGACATTTTTCGTGATGCATAGGAGACGGGTTTCCAAGTGCCATCTTTTTGCTCTTGTTCCAGTACGGCTCCAAGACCGAATGACGATGCGTCGGCTGCTACTCTTGTGTTCCTGTTAGGAGAAAAGTGAGATAATACCGGTGCTGAAGTTAATGCGATTTTTATGGCTTCTAGTGCCGCCTGTTGCCTTTCTGTCCAACAAAATTCATATTTTGTAGATAAAAGTTGCGATATGGGGCTTGCTATGTTAGCCAATTCTGGTAAAAATTTTGCATTTACTTGCAATGTGCCGAGCAGTTGTCTCACGCCGCTGACATTCTTTGGTGCTGGCATCTCGAGTACGGCTTTGACTTTGTCTTCATCGATTCCCACGCCTTCTTTGGAGATCGTGTAACCTAAGAATTTCACTTTTTTCTTTCCAAAGACACACTTCTCCTTGTTCAGTCTTAACCCTCTTTGTTTCAAGCGCTCTAATACTTGGGCCAAACGCTGGTCATGCTCTGCCTTGGTTTTCCCGAAGATTAGCATGTCGTCCGCTAAGTTGACCACGCCTTCTAGGCCTTCTAGTGTTTCCATCATCTCTCTTTGGAAGCGTTCTGTGGCTGACGTGATGCCCATCGGAAGCCTTTGAAAAGCGTAGCGTCCAAATGGCGTTATAAAAGTCGTTAATAACTGAGAGTTTGTGTCTAAAGGAATGTGATAAAATCCTGATGCTGCATCGAGCTTTGAGAAGTATTCCGCCTCTGCTTCAATTAGAGCCAGGGATTCGGATATCTCAGGTAGAATCATGCGTTCTGATTGTACTGATTTATTGAGAATAGTATAATCGACGCATATTCGAACGCTGTTGTTTTTCTTGGGTACGACGACCATAGGCGCACACCAGTTTGTTGCCACACTGACCTTTCTTATGATGCTTTCATTCTCTAATTTGTCGAGATGCTTTTTAACTGCGTCGCGTAGATGTAACGGTACCCGTCGTGCTGCCGCTATTGCGAAAGGTACAGCGTTTTCTTTAATTTTAATGTGGTACGTTTTGCCTAAGTTTCCTATGCCTTCGAACAAAGTAGGAAATTGCTCTGCTATCGACGCAACATTTGCCCAGGATAGCATGCCCAATGTTTCCAACGCGTCGCGGCCCAATAAATTCTCGCGCAATTTCTTTGCCACGTAAATTTTTTCGAGAGATTTGCGATTCCGATACCGGAGATCTGCGTCAAACGTTCCTACAATTTGGATTTTATCGCCCGAGGCTGATATAAGTGATTTTGGTGCGTCTACGAGTGTTGTTTTGTTTAATTTTTTGAGATCGTCCCATCTTATCACCGTAACGTCCGCGCCGCAATCTAATTTAAAATCTAGATTTGTGTCGTTAACATTAACGATCGCGCGCCACGGTTTTTTGGGTTTTGACGTGTCGATCGATCCCATAAAAAAATTGTCTTCCTCATCTGGTGCCGTTTCTACGCTCGCAATCTTTGGGTTTTGTCTATTGTTTACTTTAGATAAGCATCTAGTGGACCAATGTCCTATTTTGCCGCATTTTTTACAAGTGTCGTTTCTCGAAGGGCACGACGCAAACGCGTGGCGAGGAATGAGGCCGCATTTTCTACATGATTTGGTGTCATTTTTGTAGTCAGCTGTCCTAACGTGGGGATTTGGTCGCTGCATATGGGGTTTCTGTTTTGGTATGGCACCTCTGCTGTGGTAGATGGCGCTAACCTCTTCCGGTTCCGTTACGCTTTGAGTTGGCGCATTGGCTGGAGCTGGTGCGCTTGCCCGAATTACGGCTTGTTGTTTACGGAGTGATTCTGCCAACCTAACGCGTTTGATTACCTCGTCTACGTTGTCATCTGGCCTTGTTTGCAATTGGATCGACAACCGACTATCTGCCAAACCCGCGATAATTCGCAATTTGATCATCTCCCCTTCTAATTGAGCCCACTCGCACGTTTGGGCCATAGCGGTTAGATCGCTTATAAATATATCGCAGGGTTCATCAGAACCTTGCACCCTTTGAAGAAATTTGACCCTTTCGTAGACTAAATTTTTCCTTTCGCCGAAATATGCGTCGAATCTTTCTAAAACGATAGCGAAGTTTTTTTGATCTTCCGTCGAAAGGTGAAATGACTTTAGAATTTTCTCCGCTTTAGTACCCAGATGCCCGATGAAATAATCGACCGTTTGCTCACTGGAGCAGCTGACTAACACAGTGCGTTTGTAGCGATAGAAGCTGCATTTCCATTCAGCCCATTCTTCCGCTTCATAAGAAAAAGTCGGTGGGGGCGGGACCGATGGATTAGGTACAGCTACCGTTGCCGCGTTATTCGTTGTCGCGGCAGATAACGTCATTTCTTGCCGCTGTAGTTCCAGTAGCTGCGTAAGTATTTGTTGTTGACGTGCAAAATGTTCTGCATTAATGTCCTTGTGCGAGGGGTCATTGTGTGTAGCGTTATCGTTCGTCATTTTGTTATGATTAGATTGGGCGTATTATAAAACTTTTGCCGTATAAATGCCGATTGTTGCGAGAAAATGAAAGAAGTTATTACTTACAGTTTCTCCACATATTCCTTGCGTATTTACACTCACTTTGTTTTATAATCGCTATCGTTTCGCTTTTGTTTCGCGTGTGTAAGTTCGTCACCGATTAAAAAAACGCACTAGTTTTTGTATCGCGTGTACGTACCTTTACCGATACCCGAAACAAAAAACCAATCTCACCGTTGTCACCATGTAGCGTTGTCGCTTACCTTGTTTACCCCGCGCGCGCGTCACTCGAAGTCCCTCGTCGTGGCTCTTCTCGAGCTGTCTCCCCTTGGCTCGCATGCGCACGGTCACACCATATACCACAGTAATAATGTTAGGATGCTTACTTGAGGGATCGGCCTTTACTTGACTGGTCCGCTGTACTTGCGTTTGATGACGTGTCGCATGGCCTAATAAGAGTATGGTCTGCTATTCCCGTGAACGAAATCTCGCACAAGTCGCGCATGACGTCACGCGGTTCTGTACACTGAAATATTGTACGCGCGTATAAGAATGAATTTGCACTAATCATTTCGGTATTACATTTCATGACGTGTAAATACAATATTAATTACTTCATTACAATGGTTCATTGTGCGGTGTACGGTTGTAGTAACAACAGTAGAAAAACTAAAGACGTAAGTTATTATAGATTTCCTAAACGAGATGATATTAAAAGTCGATGGATAAATAGCTGCAGCAGAGACGATAAAATAAATATATCATCAGGTAAGATGCGTTATTGAAGACATAATTATTTCTCTTAACCTTGATTCCACGATTCTAAAATTATTGAAAAAGTAATTAACTTAATGCATCAAAACTGTGATACGACATTAATACCTATACCTAACGACGCTCTCGAATACTTAGTTAAAGTAAGAACGTATATCCGAATTCGGGAACTAAATAAGACAATGAAAAGCTGCGGAACTTCTGCAGAAAGACGAAAATATGTGAAAAAACTGAAGAAAATGGTTTAGTAGCTAATGAAAAAGAACTCTTAAGTTGTAAATAGTCTGAATTAATGTTTTGTTCATGGTATTGAATAAAAAGTTTTGTTCATATTTTAGATTAAATCCTAATGATTTTTACTTTGTTTTTGTAATACAACACAGTTTGTTACGTAGATATATGCAGATAAGCTCTAATTAGGCGTAAGCACTTTATGAATGAAAACTTTTCACCGTAATTGTTAGGCTTTCTTACTTATTCTTATAGTGCGGCGGCAGAGCCTCAAAATCGTTCATATACCCAATCAAGTGGTACAACCACATGTGTTATATATCAGATTACGCGGAATAAAAAGATATATCAGATGCATATAGTTTAGACGTCGGCAATTGGTCGAGCTAAAAGTTATTCACAAAAAACTTCAAAAAATGTATCAGTTTTATCGGATCTCTCACTCCGCGAAAATTTATTTTTATAAAACTGTGTTTATACTAGAGGATAGATAATTTTATATGCTTTCCAATGGTATATAATAATCTGAACAAATGTTATAACCAATGAGGCCAAAAAATAGAAATATTATGGGAGTTTTGCCGGCACCAGTTCGTTTCAGAACCGCGTGACGTCACATCAACGCCCGCCGACTAATGCACTATGCGCAATAGCAGACCATACTCTTATTAGGCCATGACGTGTCGTATCGTTGTTTGCTTGTTGCAATGAACTTATTTCGAATGTTGATTCTTGACTTCTTACTTAGGAATCCGTTGCTCGAAGGACCAAATGGAAAGATGTACTCTTCTTTTAATATTTTATTTGTACGTAAAAAGCACAAGAACAATTTACATTAATGCTCGCCATTTTTACAACAACGCAATCTCGTTCTTCGGTTCTACCAATCTACTAAAACTAAAAGAAACTTCTGCGTGCGCCGAATCCCTACTCAAACTAGCGCGATATACAAGCGCGCTTAAATTTAAAATTCATTGTTGCATTAACAACGATAAATGTATATTTTAAAGATTGAGTGAAAATTAACTTTCACGTTAGTTTCCCTTTATCGTCGTGTATAATTCAAAACTTTATTTTATAGCAGAAGCCATATAATTCATTGTAAAGCTTCTGACAATTCTGAATTTAATTTAGGGACGTCAAAAATAGCAAGCTTAGGTTCTGCCGTGATTAAGCGACATCGGCATTTTTTTATTTTCCCACGCCATTATTTGGTCTGTGGAGAATAGACAGCGCTTTGTCCTCACCAATTCGTGGCTCGTTTGCTTTGGAAGAACTGGAACTTTATTTATTTTGCAATACTTTTCCAATTTCTCGTAGGTACACTACAATCGAGAATCCGGTGTTTATGCATTTTCTTCAAGTTATTAATATGTATTTAAAGTAAGAGTTTTGAATGTGTCGGTAATATGTCGTTAAATATGCAAGTTATAGACTTACATTATTTAATGACATATTACGAATCTGACAAAAGCTGCTTAGGATTGTTGGTTCAATAACGTATTGGAAACATAGTCGTATTATTGACATTTTTTAATAAAACAAACTGATTAAAATCGGGTAGTTTTAAAACAAAAACTGAAACAGTGCTAATTTCTGGTTATCAAGCAAGGGTCTCCATTTTTCGTGTCTGGAAGATTTTTTTGCAACAGCTTTGCAAAGTCTTCAAAAGGACATTCGAACGTACACCCTGGTACGGTCAGTGGTTGTAGCATCCTAGATGAATAGTCCTGGTAGAAAATCTAGGAGTAGTGCGTACTGTAAACAGTGTACATACATAGATTTGATACGCTTTACCTGAACGTAGTAACTATCTTTGTACCTATGAAGCTCAATAAGTACGCATGCGCCATAAGGTGGTATATGAGGGAAAAATACATCCATGGCGCCCAGTATAGCAGCAATGTTAAGCTCGTGACCAGAATATAGGTTAATTTTACGTTTCTTAAGGGTACCATTTTCGTTCATTTTTGCCCTCATTTCCTTAATAATGTCTTCAAGCAGAAATCCTCCGAACAGTTGATTTAATTGTGGTGTAGCCACGACCATTTCGTAATTTTTTTTAGTTGTTCTAGTTAAATAGTTCTAGTTAGTCCATTCGGGAAGTTTTAAACCCCATTCACTCTGCAAATCCGTTCAACACGAGTAGGTATTTAACAGCAAAGATATATTTACCTCAGAAAGTAAGCCGAAGTATAATCGAAATAAGTTAAATAGTTTGGTGACATTTAAACCAGAGTGGTTAGATATGTACTCGTATTGTGAGTTGAACATGCTTTCGATCTGCTGACCTTCTTCACTTTTGGAATAGGCGTCGAAGAGTTGGCGATAACTAGGGCAGTACATAAGGGCAATACTAAGCAACTACAACGTGGAAAATATGCTAAAAGTTCTTATGGTTGCAGTACTTACGCGATTGGTCGCGTGTGGAGCAATTTCGAAAGCGATTGGGTTCCAATTCAACCATCTATTCCATTCCAACTCTGTAGAACGTGGAGGATACAGACTTGCCAAGACCAATTCCAGCGACTCCTGTGTTCTGCTGGAATCAGTACTGACTGCCCTAACTGTCCCTTTTTTGTATTGCTTTCCCAATAGCAATGCATATCTCAAACGTAGCAGTTGACCAAGCCTATATTCTCTCCTTTTACCTCTCTGCAGTTTTTTTTCTTGAGTCTATCTAGTTTCAATTTAAAAAATATTGCTTACGTTAGTGAGCTCGCCCAGGCCATAGGGTTCGTACGTTTCGTTAATATATGGATCGTTGGGATACAGTGTACCGGCGTCGGTAGTGCGATCTCCATGTCGGAAGACCTAGAATTTTTTTGCTTGACATTATGAACCTTCTGTTACGGCTTACTGCAAACGCCATTTGCACGGTTTTCTCATTTGCGCAGTAAGAAATCATGCACTCCATCGCCAAATATTTTAAAATATACACAGCATATCTGAGTGTTAGACCCATCTCGCCACCTTTAGAAAAAAACATGGCATTGAATGAATTTCCTTTTATAAGGTGAAATTATCTTATCACATGTCCAATTTGATTTCCTGCCTGTATTGGGAAAAACAGGTTGTAAAATATGCTTGACCTGATATCAAAATTGACATTGATATTTCGCATGCCCACATATCTCAATCACGCATTTATTATTAATACAGCTTTCTGCTTTCGTTATTCTTCATTACCACTGAGAATGCGATGATGTTCAATCAAAACGCAATATACCAAGTTGTAGAGGGTTTCCCGGTGATTTTTTGCCTATGCTAAAAACCTGACATTATCTCGATTTAGTACTAATTTGTTTAAGTCGTTGCTACCTGGTGGAGTGGCGTATGTAATCATAATACCATAAGAACATCTTATTGATTAGATTAAACGATACAATATCTTGGCTAATACTTAGATTTGATTGAGCGGCTGTGACGGTAAGGGGAGTTTTATGGCCACTCTTTTAAGTGAACTATCTTTCACTATGTGAACGGTGTAATTTAAAATGAAGAAACCTTTTTCTTCCTCAAATTCTCCATTTTTTCTCGTAGTAAGCGAATCCGACAGATGGATGGTTGAGGTTCCTCTGTACTCCATTTCCATTTCAATTCAATGGTTAGGCCACATCACTATAACGTCTTAGCTGCATTCACTACAACCTCTCGGCTTTTGTTAGCCATGCATTTTATTTGATTTATTATGAGTCATAAAGTTCAATGACTAATTTTATAAATAAGTTTATTGGCACTTTTAGTGACAATTACTTCTTATTGTTCTTATTGTTTGTCAATTGGTAGAAAGACGAAACTTGATTGAACGCATTTAGGAATCATAAAGAGCAATGGCTATTATTGCCAGTATGAAGCCCACCGCTCCAATGAAAATCTACAAAGTACCTATATGTTCCTAAGTACCTGACAATTACGGTAAGTTGTCTTCCAAAAGATGTGATATCTAAATTGTTAGTTATAAAATTTTAATAGTAGAATGAGGAATGACCCCTTCATTTCCTTAAACAAACAGCTGAAAGTGTAAGGTAGAACGCATGGAGTTCTAATTGCCATCTTCCAAATATATTGATCTCTGGCGAGTTGATTCATAATTTGGGAATTCCGAAGTAATTAGTGGGCGGGATTTGCACTACACATCCCCTAATAAAATTGTAGGAATCATTATTTCTCTGTTTATTTAAAGTAAACTAAATATTATAGCCTTTTTTAGAATGCAGTATCGACTGGTTGGCCTAGAGTGACTGAATTTTAATAAAAAAATACGCTTGTAGGTGCAGAATTAAATAGCGTGTGAACTGAACGTACAGGGTGGTTCAAATTCGTGGCTCATCATTTGGATCTCCGTCACGGTGTAGGTTAAATGGGGCAAAACTGGCCCCTTTTTGAGACGAAATAAAGCATTTGACACTGAAAACTGCATTATAATACGGAGTAGCCGGCATAACGCTCGAAACTGATCTAAGGATCTCTGCCACAGATGAAAAATTCACTTCAACCTATAGGTTCGAACACCCGACCTCCCGGCTATATAGCCCAACTTTCTACCATTGAGCCACACAGACGGTTCTTGCTGAATCAAATGAATTTCTATTCATTGTCCTCTATCTCATTTCGTAAAACTCCAATATGTAATACAAGAATTAAGAAAGTAGTAGTTCCTACATCTATCTTGTTAATTGTTATGGAAATTCAATTTGTAGCCTTTATTATTGCGATACTGACGAGTAAGAACAAACAACAACAAGATTTATCTTTACCTTAATTCTGAATTTATATTCATACATGTCAAAGGAAACCTTGAAATGCTCAGAGGTATATTAGGCCAATAAAAATAGTTTTCTTTCTGGAAGGTGGGCCAATGAAAAATCAACTCCTTACACCATAAAATGTAATTGTGTAAAACTGAATAGCGATGCAATCAATTTCTATGTGAAACGTCGAGCGGCGATGTTGGCGCATAAACGAGATATTATAATGTCACTATCTTTACACCTTATCTGCATTTCAAAGGTTTTAAGCACGCATACGTTTCAATACGTTTCTGGGGACGTGAAACCTGGAAGATAAAAATAGAATATAACGATTGTAGAAGTTTACAAACACAGCTCTATATAGTGCATTTTCCCCTCACTATTTATAGTTATTTCGCATCGAGGTAGTTCTAGAATGAGGAATTAAAAATACTGTCTGTTTGATGAATATGTAGTGCCATATAGCTGATCCCTTGCTCTTATGCAAATCACATTTTATTACGTTTGATGTTCTTCACATTACTGCTACTTAAAGTTTCTGTTACTTTCGGTTTCGGTTACGGTACAGTACAGTACAGTATGTACCACAGTCCACTGCACTAGGCCTTCTCTTGTTCTCTAGTAACATTTATCTGTGTTCTCCTGTTAGTACACAGCTGCTGCAATTAGCTCCAATCGCAGATCGTCTAAGACTTGGTGAACCAACGAGGACGTAATACTCCACTGAAGTTGGAGAGTCGGCGAGGGTGGATACTTCTTGATGAATTACCCAAATAATTACTATATATTGATCTTTAATGTGAACGAAAAAGGCACTTCACCGCACCGCGCGCAAGGAAAAAAATTCCACTACAGCTTGTAACGTTCTGTTTTCTAACCAATTTAAAATGTCAAATTTATATTCCACTAGTTCTTTAGTTTGTCGCTAGAGGCTATCCGAGTGTAATAGGTTTCATTTGTCGATCAAAATTTTTTTTTGTTAATTAACGTAAATTGGACTATTAATTTTTGTTTAGTATCAATTACGGTTTTAGTATTCGATTTAACCTAGTGTCAACCGTTAGACATTGCTACTGCAAAATTTATGTGGCCTGCTGTTCACTATCCCCCTTGTTTGTTTGTTTGTGGTGTTATCTGTTCCAGATAAGGCAAAAAGCGTACTTCTGAGCTCAAAAGGCCGTTATGACTCCTTGATATAACGTTTGATTACGTATTGGTTTTCGATACAATTGAATTGTAATTACTACATTAATTTGTTTGATAGTTATTTAACAATTATCGCTCCTATGTTTTCTGAGGAAGACGATATTGATAATTTTCCAGACTACGATTTGATCCGTTTGCTAAAAATTGATTTAATAGTTATTTATGGTATAAGTGTGTTATATTACAAATAAGTCACGCGAGAAAAAAGTAAGCCCACGAGGTCGTCAGGCCGAGTGGGGTTATTTTCTCAAGTGACTTATTTGTAATTAACACACGTGCACCATACAAAACTTTATCCAACACCTCCTCAAGCTGGTTTAAAACGTGGAAATCTTAAAAACTGCGTGTTCCGCGAAAAGCTAGAGTGCATGGAATACAAAAGCAATAATTCGTTACTATGGGGAATAATAAACAACAAAAAATTTAGTCAGAAAATTTTCTGAATAATGGCAGATTTGCAAGAACCCCTTTTTGTTCCTGAAGAAGTAATGAAACAGGCTGAGGCAGCATGTCTTAGTTTGCTGCCAAGAAAATCTAAAGACAATTACGACAAAGAGTTCCGCCAGTTTGAAGAATGGAGGGAACAGCAAGGTCTGAATGGAGTCAACGAAGAGGTCATGCTGGCTTATTTCCACAATTACAGAAGAAAATTGGCACCTTCTTCGATGTGGACGAAATATTCCATGGTAAAAAGTACTTTGAAGGTATATAAGAATGTCGACATATCAAAATATGGAAAACTGATAAGCTATCTGAAGAATGAAGCAAGGACTCACAAACCTAAAAAGGCGAAGACTTTGGAAAGAGAACATGTAGAGAAGTTTTTGACACAGGCACCTGATAGTAAATACTTGATGATAAAGGTACCGATTCATAATTTCTTTATATATTAGCTTTATGTTCATGTGTTTTGTATTTTTCTAGGTTGCATTGGTAATGGGGATATCAGGTGCCTGTCGTTGTGATGAAATCACCAAACTGACAGTTGATGATATTGAAGATAAGGGAGGATACTTATATGTCTCCATACCCGACTCGAAGACAAATGTGTCACGAAGTTTTACTATCATGACAGAAGGATTCTCTATAAACATTCTGGAGCTGTACAGGAAATATGTTTCTTTGAGACCCAAGAACGTTCCACACCGCAGATTTTTCGTGAATTACCAGAAAGAGAAATGCACTATCCAGGCAGTTGGTATAAATACCATATCTAAGGTACCCCAGGCAGTTGCTTCCTTCTTGAACCTACCCGAAGCCCACTCATATACTGGACACAGCATGAGACGTGCGTCTGCAACTCTTCTGGCAAACGCAGGAGCCGATATAACAACACTGAAACGCCACGGTGGATGGAAATCGTCCACGGTGGATGGAAATCGTCCACGGTGGCCGAAGGCTATATCCAAGATTCAGTCAACAACAAAATCGATATAGCCAAAAGGATTCAAGGAGGCGCCAAAAAAAAGTCGTTGATATTCCGTTAGCCTCGACTTCCTTCTCGAATGAAATGGATTGTGTTTCTGTTGAAAATTCTTCCGACATACTTCATGATTCCTTTAATTTCAATATCAATGTGAATTTAAATTAGATTTTTGTGTTGATTTTGTCAGAATAATTAATAAATAGTTATTTACGTTATAAGTCCGGTAGGTTACTTGTAACCATTGAGTTAGAAAACGAATCGAGGGAATATAATGGTGGAGGGGGTAAGAATTTTTGTAGACGGAAGCTGCCACAGATAGAGGCCACTCGCGTGGATAGGTTCCCGTGAAGGTACATTTTGACCGACATTATTTGACATATGAAAACGCGGGTCCTGTCACTGTCAGTTTTCCACCAAATTCAAATTTTATTAAATTTGCCATTTTAAAGTACCTAATAATTTCTGATCGGTTTATGCTCTGGTTTATATAAATAACTAACTGCCGCATAGTGTTTTTATCACACGCAATTTTGTGAATTGAGAATGATTAGCTGCGTATCATGCAAAATTTCTCATAAAGGGAAGAAACATGGCATTTCCTTTCATCGGTAAGACATGTCATTTATCATGTTGTATGCGAGGTTGTAGGTACCTAGTTTATGTTTCTTAGTTTTCCAAACGAACCGGTACTTCGAGCAAAATGGTTACCTAACATTTGTAAATATATCTCAAGAACAGCTCTCGAAATTTACTTTTGTGCTCACAATGCTTCATTGACTGTGATTTCGACCAAAGGTTGCACCGGAAAATGTTCATCAAAGATCTCGTCAAATATGCAGTAGGTAGGTACTATCAAAACTTGTAATGAACCTGAGACCAACCAATCAATTGTAGCTGTTGATCAACACAGTGAATTTAATGGGAGTTGTCAAGTTGTAGTGGTTATAGTAAACTGGCCTTAATTATACTACTGGAACACATCAATGTATATTTAGATTTGTAATCAATGATTATATTAAATCTGCATACTTTCCCATCCTTGTCTATTTTGTTTACTTTACCACGAGCATGTATTTTACTCCTTCTATACGTTTTTTTTGTTATTATTCCTATTAGTGGAAAGAAAATTATATCTCTACGCCACTGAAGTGAGACGCTAATGATAACGGAAGTGGTGTGGTACTTTAATCACAGTTAGAGGCCACTTTTGGTTCCCGTGGTCTACGTCTGGCCAAGCATTTGATTCCCTCCATTAGTTTTCTAACTCAATGCTTGTAACAGTACGAGTTAGACATTATGGACGAGGCGACGTCAGGAGCCGAGTCAAGAATGTCTTAAACGAGTACTGTTACAAGTACTACCGGACGTATATCGTAACGTATTTTATTTCATACTGTAAGTCTGTTTTGTATCATTATTTCATTTCAAAGATTACAAAATTTCATTATATTGTAAAAATCGCATTACCTTGTTTCTGTGGCAACGGCCGTTGCTATAGTTTGTACTTTGTTGACATGGAATTTTTTTCACTGAAAAAATGGACGCTATAAACGTTGTGGGATGTTCCACTGTTCCCGATACAATCCTGTCGAAATCTCATGAAGCAACCGAAAAGTTGGTTCCTAAGAAGTCGGCCGCAAGGTATGAAAAAGAGTACTAAGTGGTTTGCCAATTGAGGAACGAACATGGGGCGAAACAAGTAGAGGAAAACGTCATGTTGGCATACTGTTTGGATGCAGTAAGTTTTTGAATTGAGATTTTTTTGCCTGGGTTTCGGTGTTAAAGCGTCATGGGGCATGGAAAAGCTCATCGACGGCAGAAAAATATACATCGAAGGCTCGGTAGAAGGAAAAGTTAAGATTGGCCGTATGATACATACAACTGATACAAGGCGGCGAAAATTTCATTGAAGTTCTACAGCAGAAGGGATCAAACATTACTAACTCGACATCCAGTAATAACCCAGGCGTTAGTGTTGAGGGCAATACAAATTGTTTCATTACAATCAATGTTAATGTTTGAAATAAAGAATTACAGCCAAATTTATGTTGGGGTTTTTAATTAATTGTGTGAAGATGTCAAATTTGATGTAAACAAGTAACAGTCCGGTAAGTGTTGCTTAGCGACACTTACCGGCTCTGATGCTGTAATAACTCACCTACCGGACTCAAAATGATAGTGTAATCGAACATCTACCGGACAGTATGAAATAAAGAATGTTCCTGCACTTTATCTTGCTAGTGAGTTATTTTACGTCCATAACTCATTAGTGGGTTATATTATACCTTACTCGTTTAATTTCGTCATGATAATGACTGGATAACATAGAGGTGTTGGATAATAGTTATTTATTTAATCAGTGGGATAACGGCCTCATTAACTTACGAATGCGACAATTGCGCATACGAGGGCGTTAGCCCGAGCTATTGTAAGAGCATGAGTATGTTAATGGCCGTTAGCCCAAGTATTAAATACAACTTTTTATCTGCGACTGTTCTTCTACTGCTAAAAACGAAAAATAAATTTGATGCATTTTTTTAAATTTCAATCGAAGTAGCATAGTTAGCAGTTTTCGACGCCATAGAAACAAGAAAATCCTAACGTCAAGAAAATTTGTACGTGAAAAATTTTGCTTCTGATTTCTTTGCTTATGTCATGAGTGAGTCTGGAACTCTTCCATCAGACGTTAATGTTTACAATATATATATATGATAGTTAATTTTTGATCATACATTATTTTGACAAGGGCATATCCCACTGAGTGTGGTAATGAAGTTCTTATCCCACTGAGTGTGGTAATTAAGTTCTTATCCCACTTAAAATGACCGGGATAAGTGAGAGTTATCCTACAGGCGCAGATAAATGTTATAAACATTGACATTTCAGTTTTATACTGATAAGTGCAAATCAAAGGACACGTGAAGGTTTAGTTTTCTAATGGTCGTGTACGTTTTGTGTTCCTTGGCATTTGTTGGCAAGTGAACGAAACACCCTACTTAAAACGCGTATCATGTAGCACTGTTCGTAGTTCACCGCTAGATCTGTAAAAAACGACATAATACATCATATTCCTCGTTAAAATGTTAGGTGGTGTTACAAAGATAACAATATATATCTTTAAGAGTAGAGTAAGTTCTAATCTCTTATTGAAAATTCATTTTGACAGCTCACTTTTCCAGCGAACTTTGTTATTGATTGCCTTGAGAGAGTCTTCATCACGGATTACCGCAGTCTCCACAAGGAAATGTACAAAAATGCTATTGCCCACCGCACAGTTAACATCGATACATAAATTGTTAATTTATAATTGATTTTCTTGCAGCACATTTCATTTATTTTGCATGTCGAATATTTTTCCACGACGTGTTCCTTTGTTTTGTTGTAATGTGATACTTAACGTTATGCTCCTACTATTTATTTGAACTGAGTAATTATGCATACTAGTATTTGGCAGGGTGACTTGTTTTGAATATGTGTTGTGCTATATTTGACTTGATGTAGCAGGTGAAAGTGACAAAGTCCACAACTGACATACGCAGAGATTTATATTTATATGCACTTTTTTTGAAGCACCCGCAATCCGAATCACACAAAATCTTAATGATCTTCGGTCTTTACCGTCATTTCCGGTTAAACGGCTGAACTGATTTTAACCAAATTTGGTACACATATGCCTCGACATAAAAGGAAGATCTAAAAAGCTTTTGGGGGAGAATCGCAGAATGAAACACGCTGTACCTGCTGTATATACGGTAAACGTTTTGATTTTGTTCAATCCCATACACTCTCCGTCAAAACGGAGTGTAATTTCTGTGGGGAGAATCTTTTCAACAGGAGGGGTCATTCTTAACAAATGCCTACGACATGTTAATACCTTCCCTTGACTTACATACAAGATTTATTTGTGCTTGTACTCGCCGATATAGCAAGTGCCATCTAACTCGCAGTGTTACAGCTTGGAAGGTCCCCTCGTTAGATGGGTTTGGGTGTAAAAGAATATTGTAGGGAACATTCAAGTTTCGTTAAAGGGAAATTTAAATCACGATAAAGAAATGGATCGATTGACGTTCTCACAAGAAGCTCCCAAGAATTTAAACTTTCTCTTGCTCGAGGGTATAAAATGCGTAGGGTGAAGCAAAATAGGCAGCTTCTACAGGGAAGTTACGAAGCTAGTTTAACTTAATGGCAGGCTTGATTTTTCATTTTAAACGGTATTGGTTCCACGTGCTTAGTTTAATGGCGACCGAGGGTATAAAATCATAAGGCTCATCGTTACAAAATGAACAGTCCCCTCGCAAGTATTACGGTCAGTTATAGAAGTCTAGTCACAATTTATGATCAGTGGAAAAGCGCAGCGTAAACGTATTGATAGCGTATAACGTTGGTGGATAACCAATTTATCCTTATCGGTTTACTTGCAAAAGTATAGAGCTCACCAAATACTAATTAATAACAAGGAAAAACGTTTGTACTTACTTAATCGCTTTGACCATCGACAAGCCCATATGTACGCATAGTGCAGCATGATCTGGCCGTTCCCTTGGAGCTCCGCTAATGCAATAGTAACAGTCTCCCAGGATTTTTATCCTCAGTTGTTCGTATTTCTGAAATTACACAATTCCCATTAGTGCCTTGAAAGATTACAGCGCCGGGAACGAAATACGAAAAAGTCTTACATCGGCAAGTTTATCAAATCTTGCAAATAGTTCGTTTAAAATCTTCACGAGTTCTTGAGCGGAATAAGTTGAGGATATTGCCGTAAAGCCTACGATGTCGGCATACAGAATGCTGAAAAGAAAAGAAGAAAATTATGATACTACTAAAAACTTTCTGTTATTGTATACTTTATAAGTTATAATTCAGTTTCGCGAGATTCTATAGTCTACTTGATTTATAAAAACATCTCTCAACGGCCGTAGGGCCCTTCAGATTATAAATCAAACATTAGCCTGCGGGCGCGATGTTTTCATCATGGGAAAAAAAGGTTCAAATACAAATATTGAAAAGATTTTGCAGATAAATGAAATAAATTTATATCCCTCGAACAATTTCGCAGATTTACATATTGTTATGTAGGCAATTGTCGAGGTCTCCAAGTTTTTACCGCTCTGATTTATGTCTGCAGCATCGTTAGAATTTTATGAAACGGGGAATTATCATCACGCAAAAACCCTTGCTCCCTTAATAATAATACCACAATCAAATGAAACATGCACTTCAATTGTGGTGTTTTCCACTAAAGGGAAATTCACGACTGTATCGGTTTTATAGTCAACCATAGAGAATATTGGAAATCATAACAGGTCCACAGACACAGGGTGAAACAGTCAAGCATGTTCAAAAGGGGAAAAGAGGATAAAACATGTAACGGTGGCGGCCAGTTTTAAATGTGAATTTTTTCTTGAACTTTGTTGCAACTGTGATAGATTTGTATTTTAAGGGTTTGAATATTATTGGAAATTGTAGGGTGTAGAAATTCAGATGGTTACGTTGTCCAATAAAAGGTGGTGGAATTTCAGTAATAAAAATTTAAACCGTGTTGAATGAAGTCCGTATTTGGTGCATCATTCAAGCTTCAATGCCTATATTATCGTCGTAATAAGTTCAGGATATTGCAGCGCCGAGGTGGTGCAAGGATATCTTAAATTCAGTATTTTTTAAGAGCTAGATATTACATTAATGGGATCATCCTAAGAAAAGTTCTTAGCGTGAACGGTTTTCTTTAATTGCAGGGTTTGGTAAACGTTTGGGATGGGCTAAAAAGAAACCACTAACCAATAGGAATAATGTAGATATCGCCATTTCAAATTAATTCGTCATTAAGAATGATAGAAGAGAGAATTCGCCGTGACAGTTTAAGTAATAAATATGTGGCCTACAAACAGTTGATTTAAAAATAGCGTCGTAATTGCGGGCAAAAAGGTACTAGTTCCGGTGCGTCTCTGAATAATTCGGAAGGAACGTTTTTCAATCGCGAAGTAAAGAAATTCAAGTGACGTGCATTTTCGAGCAAAAAGAGGATACGAGTAGTTAACGTTCGAATATGTTATCGTAATAATAAACAATTCGGGATTTTGAAAGAAGATCCAAAAAACATTTCTATATAGGTGTTGAGTCACCGCACTTCTGAATAAATAGGGTGTTGAACTTTTCTGTAAAAATACCTAATGGTTAAACAATATTACTGTCAAAAATTCTCCTTTTTTTCTGCGAAGAAAGACAACAATTTAGTCAACAATTACATAAACCGTTAAAATGACGGTAAAGCTGTCAAAGAAATTTGGATTCACTTGCACAATAAACCACCAAAGCCATCGTACGAAGAATCTCGCCTTGATGCCAAAGACCACGCTGATGTAGAGAAAAAATGTTATCCGACGACCGAGGTATTTCCACCACAGTTCTTTTATTTTGTCTTGAGCCCCATTATTGATGTAAGGGGAGAATTTCCTGCCGTATTACTGCCCCAACATCATTGTCGAAACTGGAGTAAATAAGGTATACTGATTTTTATTGCACTTGGTATTTGTATATGGGTATCAAATTACGAGTTTCGTTCAAGCAGAAAAACAACGGTGACGATTGTACCGTACCCGTCCGGCATCGGCAGGTTAAGGAAAAGTCGCGGATACTGTGGATACGGTACTTACTTAATAGTGCTCATTTGCTTTGTTAATTCCAATCTAAAATTTGTGATATCAGTGAATAATAGTTATTTGTGTTTTACATAATATGTATTGCGAAATACACTTCAGGATCAGACGCTTGAGATTACTAATTTTTAGTTTTCCAAGTCTACTTTCGGACTAATTCACAACTTTTAAGCACCATTCCGATAAGTTGCATCGAAATAAGAATGGAAGGTTTCACAAAATTTCGAGAGCAGCTGTTCTGATCTGATTTACAAATAGTGCAATACTGTAAATTGTGCAGAGATGGAAAGTCACACAATTTCATGAGTAGAATTATAAATTTCAATTTTGTGGGTCCACCTTCCGTTTAATTCAAGTTTACAATACTGTTCCAAATAGTTCACTAAAGTAGGCAGAAGTAAGCCTAACTTACGCGTAGTTCACAATTTTGTAACACTGTTCCAATTACAATTAGATAGAGGTAAACGCGGAAAATGATCTAATCTCAAGAATAGCTGCTTCGTGGTGCCACCCATAACCTCAAAACTAAATTGTTACATGAAATGTTACGGTGAATAGGTATCTTTGCAGTTCAATACCGAATGAATCAAAAGCTCTCCCAGAATTACCTCCCCTTAAATTTCTACTGATTACGTGATTAGTGAACGCCTACAGAATGGCTTTTTATTTAACGCAATTAAACCAAATAAATAACAGCTAAAGTAATATACCAAATCCCACGCTACCGAGTGACCTCGCGCATAGTCAGTGGTTTGGAGTAGGTAAAGCTAATAAAGATACCAACTTTGGCTGTAGTTACAGCGACATTTCGTCTCCAGACGTCCGAAACTTATTCATAAAACAATGCTCAACAGAAATTAAAATACGCAGGAAAAAACAATCTAATAATCTAATTGCCTCCAGCTGTATGTTACAAAACTTTGGCGATTCAATTCTCAGTTATAATTGCACAAGAGGTTTGTATTTTACCGAGTAAATTTGGGTTGTTTAGGTAATGAAAATCTGTTGCCTAGCAATTAGACGAGAAAAACTGTCAACTAATAAAAATGCGACACCGCAGGTGGAGCATTTTTAACCGCAGGTGGAGCATTTTTAGGTTGACAGTTTTTCGAGTCCAATTGCTAAAAGGAAACAGATTTGAATTGCCACAACCCAAATTTATTCGGTTTAAATACAAACCTCGAGTGGAATTCGGCAGGACAATTTAACGAACAAGAAATTCACCAAACTAATCAATTATTGACAGACGTCAAACTAGTCATATGGGTAAGGATAATGCGATTATTGGTTCGAAAATGAATAAGTGAAAAAACGACTAGTGCATTTGTCGCTGGAAAAGTTGCAGGTAACTTTTGCCGCTGTCAAAGTGACAATTACACTGCGGCTTATGTGATTTTTTATACATGAGTTGAATTGTCACTTATAATTGCACAAGAGGTTTGTATTTTACCGAATAAATTTGGGTTGTTAAGGTAATGAAAATCTGTTGCCTAGCAATTAGACGAGAAAAACTGTGAACTAATAAAAATGCGACACCGAAGGTGGAGCATTTTTAGGTTGACAGTTTTTCGAGTTCAATTGCTAAAAGGAAACAGATTTGAATTGCAACAACCCAAATTTACTCGGTTTAAATACAACCCTCGAGTGTAATTCGGCAGGACAATTTAACGAACAAGAAATTCACCAAACTAGTCAATTATTGACAGACGTCAAACTAGTCATATGGGAAAGGATAATGCGATAATTGGTTCGAAAATGAATAAGTGAAAAAACCACTAGTGAATTTGTCGCTGGAAAAGTTGCAGGTAACTTTTGCCGCTGTCAAAGTGACAATTTCACTGCGGCTTATGCGATTTTTTATACATGAGTTGAATTGTCAGTAATATTGTTTGGACGGATTTGCCTTTAACTCCGATATAGTGAGGAGTGCGCATTTTCTGGCTTATCGTAAGTACCCGGCATTTGCATTACATCTACTTGAAGTGTATCTTTCTTTAGGTTCGACTGATATCACTGTAACATTTTAATTTCCATCGACGATTCATCTATAATTAGCCCTATTATTTAGAGAGGTATGTACATTTTTGGTTATCAACGAAGAGGGTTTCCTTTTAATTTTCTTTTAGGGTTGAAGTCTAGTTTTAATTTCGGGTTCAAGTCCTATTTTAGTTGTTACCAGTCTAATGGACCAGTACAAATTCAATTTAATTCAACTGTAAGGGCCAGATTAAGTAGGGAGATGCTTTACCTACCATTCTGTCGACGTACGAATGCGTAACCTTTGATTAAATTTTGCCCGCGGGTACCAACACACTTTGATAGCCTTTCCATCTGCTGATAAGGGGTCGTCATTTGCTGAAATTGGGTCCCTAGGTCATGCACCAGGATATCAAGGATTAGTACACATGGAGTCAGAGATTGTTAACGATTGGATTTTCAATCATGGAAATTACCCCAGTCGCACGTCCGTAGTGCAACCCTACTGCAGCCACCATACAGCTCCAACCTAACTTTTTCTTGTTCTCCAAGGGTCCTATTTTGAAAGATAATAATAATAATAATAATAATAATAATAATGTGTTTATTTCCACCAAATTAAAAAAATGGAAACCACAGGGGTTATCGGTTCAGTTGCTGCACAGGCAGGTTCTGATCTTCCACCGCTCCCTGAATACAATTAGAATTAACATAATCAAGTAATGCTTATAACTGAGTAATATAATACAAAGGAAAATATGAAATAGTAATAAATGCACATAGGAGTAACTAAATGAGAGTGAGATGAAAAGAGATTGAGTAAGATACTGATTCACTGCACAAAAATATGAATATTTTTTTATTATGAGACTAATCTCGATATTTTCCGGACACAGCTCGTATTGTCAATGTGATGTTGCCCTGTATAAGTCGTTTAATCATTTATTCCGTGGAGGAAGTACCTCGTACAGTTTCGGTTGTTCGCTGTTTCGCGGTTGTCTGTTTCACATGTATTTTTTCGTGTTAAACTAATTGATATACGACGCCGGGAGCAGAGCCTTAACATTTTGATTTTTTTAATGTACATGGAGTTAACCATTTTAGGAGTTGCTTGTATAAATTGATCGCGAGTTTTTACATTAATTTGATTTACCTTGT